TCGCCGTCCGCTGGGCTCTGGAAAAAAATGTAAAAATTAATATTTTTACGATAGCCGAGGCCAGTGGCGAATCCAGGATTCGGGTCCGGGGGGGGGGGGGGGAGGTTATAAAAATTTTGTATCGTAGTGACGAATGTCAAACCTCATGGCTTATATAAACCAAAACACTTTAACTTTACAGGCTTTCCTATCCTGACAATAAGAATAATAAAGAACACTACAATATTTTCGATAATTTAATAAAAAATACAATGAAATAACTAACCAAAAAATGTTGTCGACCGCGCCAACGCTACAAGTGCAAGTGGAAAGACTAGAAAAGTGGAAAATTTTCGAGCCTGTCAAGTCAGAAAGCAATGTTGTCACGATTTTATTACTATTTTTTAAAAATGAAAATTAAGATCAAACAGTTGTAGTGATTTTAAATTAAATCAAGATTTTTGGTTTCGCTCTGGGGGGGGGGGCTGCAGCCCGATAGCCCCTCCCCTGGATTAGCCATAGGCCGAGGCTCTCTGGAGCTCCAGATCCAGGTCTGAGATGGTCATAAAGGCCAAAGAAAAATTTAAATTGACTGGAGATCAGATTGAGCTAGCCTATGTGAAGGCGCAAGCTGGTAATCTACGTAATGAGCTCTCTGACCATCATGTCAAATTAGTTACCATCGAGGGGGTGGAGAAGCTCTTGCCTACTCCGACTGTACATTTTAATGTTTATAATGTTTTAGTGTTTTATTCTGTTGGAGCTGTGTTGAATTTAGTCTGGCCGGGACTGGGCGAGCAGTTGTAATTATCGTACTCCTATATTCTGGCTTTGTGATTGGGTCCACCCCTGTTTAAAATTAATGTAATATTTAGTTGTAAATATTTAGTGCAACCTGTAAATATTTAGTTGTTCGTTTTCAATTTTTTTAGGTGTGCTCTTCGTGCCCGCTTGGGCTAAAGGTAAGCTATTCTCTAGTGCTGTCGGGATTGTTTCTTCCCAGCCAGCCCGCTCCAGGCCTTACCTCCTTACGGGCCGGACCGGCAGGGGTACTAAATAAAAAAAGATACATACTTGCACAATGCATCATTTTTTACTATCTTTGAAACTTATGGACAAAATTTTTATACTGCTATTTAATTATATAAAGTACATAGTTCTACTTATATTAATGACCCACACTGGATCATTAATATAATAAAATGTGCATTGCATATTTTGTACATTTTTGCACATTTACATAATGTACATTTCTGGTGTAAATGTACATTGATAATCTATTGTAATAAAATGTATTATGTAAATGTATATGTTGCCGTTAAAGTGTACAATTCAGTTATTTCATGGAATATGTTGTTATTTCATGAAATAACTTATCAAGTCATTTAAAGTTTCTAATAAATTAATAAATCCAATAATGCTTAGTCCAATTAATAAAATTTTAACCAGTTATTCTACGAAACAACAAGTAATTATGCAAATTAGCTAACAACAGACAAATAATGTGAAAAATAAATAATCAATTGAATTATACAGCATAGAAAATGTTATTTATAAGAAATAAAGACATAAAAAAACCATTCATTAAAACTGGAAATACTAAAATGGAACTTGGAGTTGCATAGAAAATTATTTCTAAAACGAATACTTTTTTTCTATAATAGACAGTTAAAGTGTAAAATAAACAGTATAATTGGATTATGCAGCATACAAAATTTTATCTACACGAAATCACAATCATTTTGTTCATAACAAAATAGTAGCTAATACTAACAAGCTAGATGGATCATTTAGATAATGTGTAAATATTTATATGATGAAATAATTAATTAAATCGTGGAATGGAAGCAAATTTTACACTTTGACGGACTTGATCAGTTATGAAATAATTAGATATTTTTTGAAATAAAGTATTTCATGCATTAATGGAAACATATGCAAGGTGTTTCAAAAAAAAGAGTTTCAAAACAATCAACTACAAAAATTAGAATAAATTGAAAATAGAATCTTAGCTTAAACTTTAAACAAAAACAACAAAAATCTATTTATTTATTTTTTATTTATAAACAATAAAATTTAAAGAATAAAATTTAGAAAATAAAATTAGATAAAATGTATACAATTTTTAACTAGCGCGCAATTGCAGCAGGAAAACAAAAAACAGAGAAAAATAGAAATCAATATCATACAAAGAAAGCCAAAATAAATAAATAAACTCAGAGGTAATCGCAGGAAAACAAAAAACAGAGAACAATAGAAATCAATATCATACAAAGAAAGCCAAAATAAATAAATAAACTCAGAGGTATTCGAATAAAACCAAAAATAAACAAGGAATCCATTCTAGTCCATTTTTTCAAGGGCTAAGAACTTTATTCGAAATGGATTCAAAATAATAATTGGGAAATTTTTCTGTAAGAAGCTAGCATTACGCCAAACATAGCTTCTCTTAGCCCGAAATTTCCTAAACAAAGGACAAAGGAGACCTGTACATCAAAAAGCATATTTTCAAAAGAAAGAGGAAAAACACGCACATCAAAACGCTAATAAGGTTGATTAAAATTATCAGCCATCTGGCTATATTAAAATAAGCCTTCATACAGAAGGCCAAAAAGAAGTGGCCAAAATTAAAGGATATATCAAGGAGGCAGAAACAAGTCATTTTCTCAATAGAGCATGGGGTTGGAATTGTAAATTGGATTCATTACAGGCGAATCTTTGTTAGTGAATTAAGTAAACGAAAATAATACTTTGGATCAAATGTATAACACAGATTGAATGGAATACAGATTTAAAATAACATAATTCAGTTGTATGAATGAGAACATTATCACTCGTATGCGGCATGACAGGCATGATAATGGCAAGTAGAACGAAACCTTTGGAATACTTAAGGATTGTTGGAGAGTAAGTAATTGTTCAAAGGATTTGCCGACACGATACAATCCTCGTATGATGTTCTTCATGCAACTGTGTTGTTGTCATATTGAACATTTGTATCCCGTTCAATCTGTGTTGCTAATTTCATCTGGTGTATCCTTTACTCTTACTCAATTTTCTGGTAAAGATCCTATGTACGAATCCCCTGTGCATTTCCGACCTCATGTTCTACTGTGAAAAATTATTTGTTTCTGTGTGCTTCACCTTTCATTTTAGCCACGTGTTTTGAAATACCCTGTATAATATGTTATGCGTATAAAATAAATTTCTTCTATCTTAGTCAAACGAAACAGGTGTTCAGGGAAATTGTTTCTCTATGTCATTTTGACTTCAAGCCTTTTATTTTCAACATGTATGCAGTTAGAAACCCGCAAAAGAAAGACCCCCGCATTTGGGTAATGATTTCTTAGATGCTTTTTTTGGAATGAAAATTAATTGTTTTCATCTAATTTGCATTTTTATCACTTGCCAAGAGAGACATTAAAGACGCTCGTAGATAAATATCGCCGGAAAATAATAGCTAGGTTTATTCCTGAAAGACGAAAAAAAAAATAGAATAAGAAACTTTAATTTTTTTTTTGTATTATTTGTAAGCTAAGTGAATAAAATTAAAACAAATAAAATGTTCTGAAGCTTTGAGTTGAATATTTTTTATAGTAAGAATCTTTGATTTTGTTTTATTTTTTGCAGCATGTGAGACTACAAAATTGGACTGAAAAAAAATGGACTTCTAAAACATCTTCTACCAACAATCGAAGGCACTTGAGGCCACTATCATACAATTACTTCTTACATGGTTTTTCATAAATGAATATTGTTCTTTGAGAAGCAGGCCGTTACACTTATGTTCAATTATTAGTCAATGAATGTACAAAGTTAAATTTTAGATCCTATTTCGCTGTAACGAAATGACGCAATCCAAAAAGAAATAAATAAAGCAATAGAAAAGTAATAATGAGATGTAAAATGTATTTAAAAGTTTTTAAAAAGGAGTCTTATATTCTTAATATTACATAAAGTCCAAAAGAGTCATAAGTTACTTCCAGGTTTCTAGAGTTTAAATGGAAAAGGGGAAGAAACATAATACTTGCGACTTTTTTCAATACTATTGATTTAAAAGGTTTAAATATCAAATTAAAGAAATGAAAATTGTATCCTATATATAATCACTCCCGTTAATAACTGACTAATATTTCCGATAGGCTTTTAATAAACACAATAATAAAGAAAATGACATCGAATTTGCTTGAAAGAAATAACTTAATTAATATGTTTACAAATATTCTCTTTTCATTGAACTTAACTTTCATTAAGCTTTTAAAGTTTCACAATCAAGTGCTTTTTTTGTAAAATAAAACCTCTCTTAAGAGTGAATTAAAATTTACAAAAAGTTCTCAATTCAGAAAGCAAAGATAATAGGAAATTCAAATATTTTTTTTGTATTTTTATCCTAAACTGATAACGGAGAGATAGTTGTTGAATAAGAAATCAAATCATTGAGGTCCAACTAAGCAGAAAATGTGTTTTTTGAATGAACATGATAGAAACTTCTATCATGTTGAATCAATTACTTCGGATTTACTTCGATTCAGTTACTTCGGGCTCGTAACCCAAAGGTCCTCAGTTCTATCCTCGCGCCGCCAAAGTGGTGACTCGCGGACAAAGAATACGCAACAACAACTTTCAGTCGCACTAATAGATGGCAGCACCAAATATCAGGTCAATTCCATCTTCTTCTACATTCACCAGGTGGCAGCACGACAACTCCTACAGCAACGCAGCTCTCCCAATTCAAAGCCTGTGACACATTTCACAGCACAAAGTCTATGACACATTTCATAGCACAAAGCCTGTGGCGCATTTCACAGCACGCAAAGTCTATGACCATTTCATAGCACAAAGTCTGCAAGTGCCTGCGCACCACCAATCTGGGCAGCAATCTGCGCATATGCACGCAGCACATCGCTTCCTTGATATTCAGATAATCTCAAACAAGCTGGGGGTTGCTCCTGTGGCGCACCGTGCTACGCCATCTTACTGTGATGTATATTAGCCAATATCCGCCTCCGGACATGGGGAATTCCTTTTGTCTAGTGGTTAGGATTTTCGGCTCGTAACCCAAAGGTCCTCAGTTCTATCCTCGCGCCGCCAAAGATGAACAATCCTATATAGCTTTTTAAATTTTGGTTCATAGAAATTTTGAAGCGCTTATTTACCTTCCTGTCGGGCGCAGCTAATCTGTGAGATGAAGCACCTGTTGGCATGTCATGAGTGTAATTTGCAGAGTAACTCAGATACCAGGCAGTTTTAAAATACAAAAGAGCTTTAATGCTGTTT